ACAAGAAATGTATAAAATTACAGTACTGTATTAGACTTACGGTACCTAATTTACATACTGACAGACGATAGTTAGCGTAAAAATCTCCGTAGCGTGGCGCCACGCTAGACGGCGGAAATTATATATTTAATTATAACAAAGTTACAATAAGTTAATATATAATTATATATACAGTACCTAATTTATATATAATTAATATATAATTATATGTACAGTACCTAATTTATATATAATTTATATAATACTGTCCAGACGATAGAAATCTCTCCGTAGCGTGGCGCTACGGACGGCGGGAAAGTAGTTCGGCTTCCCGATGACGTTTGAGGTGTTTATAGGGAACTTTTACTATTTTTTACGGATACCGGTAGCAATTTTTTCGTAGTTTTATAGGAATCGTAACTATAGGGACCGTAATTATAGGGGGGTCGACTGTACATGCTAATTTTAATATTAAATATTATAAATGTAGAGTCAAACATTCAATAATAGCCACATCTAAAAAGCAGGCATCTTTTTCAGGAACATTTCTTTTTGAAATGCATACAACTTTCAAACAATGGCTATTTTTTTAAATGCTCCTATTAGTGCTGTTCAAGTATTTGACTGTACATAAAATAAATCAAATAATATCTTATAGAAATATTATGAACAGAATTTCATTTTCCAAATATTATTACATATCTTTTTTATACAGAAATATAAACTTCTTCCATATAACTACTTTTTATTGTAGGAAAATTCTGCTTCTTAATTACTAATGTCTTAGATTTACTTTCAAATTTGAATAAAATTTGTTAATTCTGATTTATTCATAGTGCACATTTGTCACTGAAGCATGTATGCAAAAGGCAAACCTTCAAATTCTAAATACATAAATAATAAATCAATAACACTAAGTAATTTCACTAGGATGGCAGCTTAACTGCCAACCTTTAGTCGAATTACTTTATATCTAATTATTAAATTGGCCTTATTATAGCCTGATAATTTGTCAGATCATTTGGAAAAACCTAAATATATTTCATTAATATGAATATGATATGATCCATATTGAATATTCAATATACATATTTATCACATTGATCAGCAATATGTTTAATATGCAAACTAATGTTTATGATCACCTTCAGTGATTATCATCAGGTTAGAAATTCTTAAGTTCTAATAATTCAAAATTAAACAAGAAATATTCAATAAATAATATTCATAATGTAACTTGTGAGCCTAATATATAATATTTCTTGTTTAATTTGAATTGTTAACAATTAATAACCTATAATGGTCACTGAAAATTGAAAATGTTTATGTATTAATTGTAGTGCTGATTAATATATGTTTATTAACATACTATATCAGTGGCAAAACTACAATGAACCCTGGTTTGCTTTGGATCCTGTTTTGAACTACAAAATAGCTCAGTCAAACCAGGGCCAGAGCAGCAGGAGTCCAAGCATGTCAAGCAAAAAGCTTATGGCTCATGATTAAAACAGTTATTGTTTTGATCATGGGGCACTTAATTGAAAGAAAATCACCTGACCACCAAAGGTCAGGTGATTCTTTCTTTTAATCAATGCTAAAGGCTTTTTTGGGCATATGTAAGTCCCATACTACAAAGCATGGGGTGGGATTGGGATGGGGACATACCTTAGATTTTTGAACCATAGCCTGAAGTGAAAGTTGTTAAGTCTCTGTACTATATGTAATGAAATAATCAGTTGATAATTCATTAAAATATAATTTTTATAGTTTTATGCATTTTACATTATTAAAATGAGATNTGAATATAACTAAGAATAACACAAAAATTTCTATCACGTGATAAAAACATACATTTTTAATTTATAAATTTTCATCTTCAAGTTTCAACCCAATGTTACATTATAATGTCTCAAATGCTATTATGATTAATACTGTAAATAAAACTGTCCTTTTTATCATAATAGCATTTGAAACGTTGTTATTTTTTTATAATAATTTTCATTTTAGGTGAAATTCATGGAGTAAATACCTTGACTCCATCTTAGAAATCCAAAAGTCAAAAAATTGTAGCCTATATTTATATAACTTGTTAGAAAAAGCTTTTTAATGTGATAAACGTTTTTGAGAAATATCTATTCCAGCTAGTGGCAGATCAAAACCTAAAAGGGAAACTAACTTAAAAATTTAAAGTATTTGAATAATTATAAGTACATGTGCAAGATGATTGTATTGTGGACTGTCTGATAAACCATTGTTTTTAATAGCATTTATCATGAAAACTATGTTTTGAAATTTGAACAAATAAATTTTAACTTTTTTTGTGTCAATGGGGAGGGCTTAAGCCCTGAATTCTCCATGGATCCATCCAATTCTAGAACTTCAAACCACTACAAAATTCCTTTAACAAATCGAATACTTTTCTCAGCATTAAAAAAACATAAAACTAACAACATAGATCAAATACATTAAATTTAAATTCAAATAACAAAAGTAAAATTTTCACATTATTTGAAAAAATATGTTCAATGATAACAATCAGTATCACATTAATTTCTTAAAGCTCAAATTCATCGGTCTAGACTAGTTCACGGGTTTGTACATTTTCAATATTAGATAAGTCATTCTTGAACATCACAAGTATTCTCTCTTCCATTATACAAAGAGTAAGCAACTTACAGTTCAACAAAATTAATGATGCTTCACCCCATCCAATGTTCACCTTGATAATGCAGTATTATCCTCATATTTGTCCAAATCTTTCCTAGGTTCTCTAATTTGAGTATTGAGGAAGTGAAAGATGCTATGCTGAATATGCAGACTAAATCTCAGCTTTCGTTTTTGTATGAATTAAAAATTTCTCATTCCTAAACAAATCATCATATGTTTTTCATTTTTCTCATCATTAGCATCTGGATGACTTGATCTACAACATATCTTAAAAGTCAAGTGGCTCATAAACCTATGACATAACAAAGTTTCTACTCTCGTGCATCTGGTTTTTGTACCTTGCCACTAATTGGTTTTCTTGCTTTCCTAACCAGTGAGCTATTACAGACTTCACAGGACCCTTGCTGTCTCTCTAATTATTGACAATTCAATTTTTGATATTGACAATTCTTTGTCTAAGATTTCTGTACTAGACAAAAACTAGATAACTTTTCTAGCCAAACTACAAAAAGATGAAATTTTATATTTAAGAGGCTATTTCAATGTCACACATGAATAAGTTTGACTTGAAATCAGTTTTCTGTAGATCAATATATGCAAGGCTTGGAAAATCTGAATTTGGATGTCCAGGTGGTGGACAGAAACATTGATGATGTGTTTCAGTCCATAATTTATAATTTGATTCAAACACACAAAAATAATAATAAAAAATCAGTTTTAATAATATGAAATTTTTCTTATTCTCAATCACTTTAAAAATTATATACTACTAAGGGAAGCAGTATAAAAGTAACATATATAACTTATATGATTTCTGCATTTCCATTTTATCTATCAATATAATTCCACCTTTTTAAATTTTTGTATTGTATTTTCTTTCACAATGAATATATGTGTTCATTGAAACTAAGTTAATGGTAAGAAGACATATTATTAATCAGAAAAAAAAATAAACTGAGAGTAAACTAATTTTTCTTATTAACAAAGTAGGTTAATAAAAGTACATTTAAATGATTATGTTAGTTATTGCTTAACTAAAATTTGCACAAAGTCTTAATATACAATCTTCTTTATTTATTTATTTTCTGCAAATTTTAATTATATCTGTAATAAAGATAATAAAATAAGCTTTTTCTTATATCTTTATAATGAAAGCAAAATAATATAGTTTAAAATAGTTTAATTAGAAATTATTCTGTTTAACTATTTTTGCTTAATTAATGTTTAACTTGTAATTATTCTTAGAATAACTTATATTTGATTAAATTTATTCAGCTTAGTTTTTTTAACAATTTATTTTTTTTAAGTAAGCTTTTTAACTAATGAATTTTTCTACTTTTTTTTTTCTTTTGCATTTTTAAAATCAACATATTATTCTGCTTTTTGATATTATCTAACAGCAATAACAATAATTATTACTCACAATTGTTAATGCAGTGGAACAGCCAGTGAGCGAAGTTAAAGGTGTTACCAAAGAAGTAGAAACTACTGAATTGGTGAAAGAAGAAACAACTTTTCATCTCAAAGAAGGTTGGCATGACTTACAGCATGAATGGATTTCTACTTCAAAGCAATATAATCAGATGAGATTCCTTTCATTGCTGCAAATTAAAACTATTAGTTTAACATTATCAAAACTTATAAAAATTTATATATTATATAATTTATATATTAAATGCTAAGTAATATAAAGNGAAGAAGCCTGAAGTTACTGAAGTGACAGAAATAATTAAAAGACCAGAAGAAGAAATTGTGGAAGAAGAAATCACTGAAATTGAAATCACTAGAAAGAAAAGGCCAGAAGAGAAGGTAGAAATAGAATTCATCACAGAGAAACCTGAAAAGATTGAAAAAGAAACAGCTGAAATTGAAATTACCAGAAAGAAGAAACCGAAAAAGAAACCAGAAGAAGTTGTAGAAGAAGAAATCACTGAAATTGAAATCACTAGAAAGAAAAAGCCAGAAGAGAAGGTGGAGATAGAATTCATCCCAGAGAAACCTGAAAAGATTGAAAAAGAAACTGCTGAAATTGAAATTACCAAAAAGAAGAAACCAAAGAAGAAGCCTGAAGTTACTGAAGTGACAGAAATAATTAAGAAACCAGAAGAAGAGATTGTAGAAGAAGAAATTACAGAAATTGAAATCACTAGAAAGAAAAAGCCAGAAGAGAAAGTGGAGATAGAATTCATCACAGAGAAACCTGAAAAGATTGAAAAAGAAACTGCTGAAATTGAAATTACCAGAAAAAAGAAACCAAAGAAGCCTGAAGTTACTGAAGTGACAGAAATAATTAAGAAACCAGAAGAGGAGGTTATTGAAGAAGAAATCACAGAAATTGAAATCACTAAAAAGAAAAAGCCAGAAAAAAAGGTGGAGATAGAATTCATCCCAGAGAAACCTGAAAAGGTTGAAAAAGAAACTGCTGAAATTGAACTTAAGCCTAAAAAGAAAAAACCAAAGAAAAAACCTGAAGTTACTGAAGTGACAGAAATAATTAAAAAACCAGAAGAAGAGATTGTAGAAGAAGAAATTACAGAAATTGAAATCACTAGAAAGAAAAAGCCAGAAGAAAAGTTGGAGATAGAATTCATCCCAGAGAAACCTGAAAAGATTGAGAAAGAAACAGCTGAAATTGAAGTTAAGCCTAAAAAGAAAAAGCCAAAGAAAAAACCTGAAGTTACTGAAGTGACAGAAATAATTAAAAAACCAGAAGAAGAAATTGTGGAAGAAGAAATCACTGAAATTGAAATCACTAGAAAGAAAAGGCCAGAAGAGAAGATAGAAATAGAATTCATCCCAGAGAAACCTGAAAAGATTGAAAAAGAAACAGCTGAAATTGAAATTACCAGAAAGAAGAAACCAAAGAAGAAGCCTGAAGTTACTGAAGTGACAGAAATAATTAAAAGACCNGCTTTTATTACCTTTTTTTTATGCATGTTTAATTAATAATAATTTATTAAATTTATAACAAATAATTCAATGTCATGTCTATGCATGATCAAGACATGTTGTTGAATATGAGAAAGAAATGTTTTGTTTCTTCTGCATTGTTTGCAAACGGTATTTCTGGTAAAGGAAGGATGCTTGAAACAAATTTTATTTATTTATTTATGTGTTAGAAATAGATTATATTTCATATAATGTTTTGTTATTTATTAATAAGAAAGTAAACTGCATGATTTATTTTATGCATGAGTCAATGATAGTAATGGGCTACACACTATAAGGAAAAGGTAAGTGATGATTACAGGCAAGTCAGATATTATGTACTATACCTGTATTTACATTATGTATGTAAATATATGTATATTTACAGATATTATGTACTATACCTGTATTTACATTATGTATGTAAATATATGTATATTTTTTATAATTTTTATATAAATGATTAATTATATTTTCAATTTATTTATTGTTTTTCTTGTGTTCTTTATTAATATTTTTTATTATACAACAAATTTCTTGTTATTCATACAAATATTGATATATCTCTAGACACTAGAATTATAGAAGATGAGTTTGAAGTCACGGAAGAGACAGGTTCGATATCAGTAGAATTTTATTTTATAAATATTTATATTTTTTCTTTTCTCTTTCAGCTTTTAACATGGCTTAATATGCAGCAGCTTCTACATCTGTTTATTGTAGAATTAAATAAAAATCTAACAAATTTTTATTTCAGGAAATTACCATACTGATTGATAATCAACATGCTTCACAAGGAATTGCTTTCTGACATCTAAAATAGCTTTAATTTGTTTAACATTAATTTGTTATCACATATTTATATACACTTTATAAAATCAGTTATATCTACAAAACTTGTAAATATGTATGTTTATTTTATCATCATTGTGGTCTGATATGATATTCAGCTTATTATTAGATGTAGATAATCAGATTCTGAGAAGATCATTTTTTTATCTGATGGCTGAAGGGTTAAGGCATCAGGCTACTGCCTGAAATCAAGTCTGGGCAGAGAACCCTAGGAATTTTTTGTGACTTGACTCATATTTTGGATACCAATCTTCATAATATGGTTGTCACCATTGTGGGCCTGGCCAAACATAAGATGGGCATGGAGAAAAGACAGTCTTAGTTCCCACAGAAAGAAAGAAAGGAAAAATAAAAAGAAAAAATTATTATTTTTATCTACAATTCTTTAACAACTGCTACTATACAACTGGTTAATATTAGACAAAAATAAACACTGTAAAAACCTAACAAACCAGTGAGAAAATTATACACAAAGGCACTTTGCATATAATTTTCAGTGTTTACTTTTACAATTCTTTGTCTTTTCAAAAATAATAATATATTGTTATCCAAATGACAATGTGGAACAAGTCACAATTACACCTGATTCTGTTTGTCTACGCTCTTGATGGACCACTTAAATGCATAATAGAAAAAGAGATGCAGCAAATAAATGCATAAAACATAAATCCCATTTTAATATTTAAATAAATGATATAACTGATTTTATTAATCAAAATAAGTAATATAAAATAATTCTAAATGCAATTTTGCTTTTTTAATTGTATAATCTAGACTATCATATTAAATTTCATGTTATCAAATAATAAAATTTATGAAGAAAAATTTTAAGCATATAATCTTAAATATGTTTTGTCTTTTTCTCATAATATTTTTTATGATTTTAAAATTTGAAATTATTTAAGTTAAAATAAAATAATTTCAAAATTACCAAGTAATGTTTTTGTGAGCTCCCATCAGAGTGCTCTACAACTCAGTAATTTTGCAAGATTTGAATTCTCTGTTCAAATTTTCTTTCCATTGAGATTCAATATACTTAATCTGTTGAAGACCTTTTAAAGAGGTTGAAAATGTTCATTAATTAAATGTTTATTCTTGCTTTAAGGTATACAGAATTTTTGTTACATTTGCTTAAATATTAATACCAAAAAAAATAGTTGTTACTGTTATTTTTTTGTCAATAATAAATTGACGTAAGATTATTATTTTAAAAATTTCAAAATATGAACAAATGTAACTCCTGTAAATGTAAGAAATCGTCTCTGTTGAGGTAAAGGTGCTTTTATGTGGGTTTAGGTGCATTAAAGGTTTTGCTTATCATAAAAGTTGCCACCATCATAAATAAATAAAATCCCATAGTTTCAGGAACTAGCAGAATTTATTTATTTATTCATTCACATATAATTTAAAAGTAAATATTAGTTTGTTTATTTACAACAAACTGATATTCATCAAACTTAAGTGAGGCAATAAACTATTAGCCAATATGATTTTAAATTAAATATTTATTTCACAAGTTAAGAAAATTTTTATTTTAAACATCATTTTAGTGCTTGTTTCAAAACTTAACATATATACAGAGCCAGATTTAGACTAGTTGTGGCCACTCACTAAAACATACAAGAGGTCTTTCTTCTTTCACCAAATAATAATGGGTAATATAGTATATAAACTGTCTTTGAGAACAGAATGTTCCCCTCATTCCTAAGCTGTCACTTGTTTAGATTTTATATAAATCCATCTCTGCTAATACAAATACTACTTTATTACAACCAACTATAAATAATATAAGAAAAACTCCCAAACATTTTAGGAAATTGTAATCAAGGGAGACTATTTCTCTGACAATGAACTATAATATATTGTTATCCAAATGACAGTGTGGAACAAGTCACAATTACACCAGATTCTGTTTGTCTACACTCTTGATGGACCACTTAAATGCATAATAGAAAAAGAGATTCAACTGACTTGCTCAAAAATGTTTGGGATTTTTTTTCTATCAGTTGGTTCTAATAAAATGTTGTTTGTATGTTATCATGCTTAAAATAGAAACAAAAATTTCTTCTAAAAGTTAACAGAAAATAGTTTAAAAATTATGCCTCCACAATGATTTATTCAGTTAGATTGGATTGATAAAATAAGACAATGAAACATGATGGTGATCTGCAAAGGGGACAAACCACCCAGGAAGACTTTCTTTAGGAAACTGGCTCTATTTAGGTGTTAGACAAATAAAGAAAACTTGGAAAACCCCATGCAGCCAGTCTGTTGGTCAGGTACAAACTCACAACCAACTACCATATTCAGTAGTTTCATCCACTCGGCTACTGGTGAGCTATGTTCGTTAGGGAAAGATTCGAGTGGATGAAACTACTAAATAATGTTAGTTGATCCTGAGTTTCCACTTCACTAATGGCTGTTGACGAGTTGCCTTCACGTTTATAACACTAAATTAAATAGTGGACAATTCCCAACTGAAAGTTACCTCTAATAGACATCCCCCTTCGGCATATCTCCCAGACTCTGCCTTATTGTAGACAACTAATCAAATCTACAAATTATAAAATTGAACGACAGATTAATATATTTATCCGTATTTATTAGTAATATTGTACTATACTCATTTCAGGGAGAATTTTTTTTCGATCAATGAGTTGATTGAAATAATGTAATCAATATTCAATATAGAGTAGATATTATAATGGGAAAGGCATTCCGGTAGGACATTTCATGAATGTATAGTTTATATTTACGTGTTACAATCCGAAATCTCAATGTGGTTAACCCATTAGTCAAATGCGAACTGGTGACCATCTTTCTCTTTTCTTTCTCTCTTGTATCGGCGTTAATATGAAGATTACTGCATAATCGCTAATCCTTCGAAAAGCCAACGAAAGCTTTTTGCTTGACTATTCGAGATTACGCGTGAAGAGCCGGAAGAAATGCCTTCCGGGAGGTCTTTTAATTAATAATAATTGTCTCTTACTTAGGCGTTAGAGATATGGAGATAACCTGGAAGACTGTACGTGGCCAAATCGTAATGGCGAGACGCGAACCCACGACCGAACTTCCAGTGTTCAGAGAACGGAATCCTGGCCACTGTGAGACCTGGCGATCATTAATTTTTAGCCAGTCGGTTATTGATGAACACTAATTCGAATAGCTGATTTTTATATTCCTATTAAATATAATTGCATCAAGTCGATTATTTTTTACGAGTGAATTCTGTGAATTACACATGCCAGAATAATAACGATTACATCACAATGTGTAATATTTTCATAACGTATAACTTATGTGTATAAATACATAGTTAATATATCTTCATAACAGAACAAAGAAATTCTGAAGCATCAGTTATACACTTAAAATAATAAAGTTTGGTATTCTCGGTTACAGGGTGGCTCATATGTGTGTCCTGGTGAGAATTAAATTATTCGACAAATACAAAATGCAATTAATTAAGTACAGTCGACCCCCCTATAAGATCATAGATACGTTCCATTTTTTAGGAATCCGATTTCTTACGAGTCGTTCCAATCACAGCCTGACACGTGTAAAGTTTACGTACTACGGCTGATTGAAAGGTTTTCTTCCATAAAATTAATCGATTCTAGACTAATCCGACTCAACATTTCCAAAATACGNTAATAGACAACCGATTCTTGAATCCAATCGCATTTTCTCAAGAACCAACCATTACTAAACTTTAGCTGTTTTCTTTTTTTATTTTCTCTTCGGTATCATTATCTCATCTAGGTTATCGAACTCATTTCCTCGGCAATTCTATTCCACTATTTACTTATTATTCTGCTTTATAACGTTTTTTGCAAATCAATTCAAATGTGAAAAATATCAGAAAACATCATCACAATAAAATTTACAATAAAAAATCGAGTCTAGATTTTAATATACTGATAAAAAGTACACTTGCTTTAGGTTATATATTGGTATTGGTAAACTATATACAACTAATCATTCGATTTTCGTTAAAATGACAATATTTATCGATTCTAAACTTAATTATTTCTGAAAATTATTGTTTAAAATATATTTATTTTCTATATTTTAACATCAATTAATCTATTTATTGATTACAGCAATAGAGCAAAGCGTTTCTTCTTTTCATCTCATCTGCAACTCGTTTATTTATCTTTCTTCATTTTAATATTATTTAATTTAAGGAAAATTATTTATTTGTAATAAAATTTCTAAAATTAAACTTTCACAATCTTTACATTTTTCTATAATAAATAAAGAAATTTCTCAAAATATTAAGTAGAAGAAAATGGACAAGATCTCATATATGTTTCATACATTATAGTCATACTATTTCTATTTAAAATGACCACATTTATCAATTCTGAACTTAATTTTTTTTGAAAATTATTGTTTAAAACATATTTATTTTCTATATTTTAGCATTAGTTAATCTCTTTATTGATCACTGCAACAGAGCAAAGCACTCCTCTTCACCTCATCTGCAACTCTTTCCTTCATCCCTCTTCGTTTTAATCTTATTAAATTTGAGAAAAATTATTTATATTTAATAAAATTTTTAATTAAACTTTCATAAATCTTATATATTTCTTATATTAGAAGTTATCGTGTAATAAATAAGAAAGAAATTCATCAAAAAATTAAGTAGAAGAAAATGGACAGAAATCTCATAAATTTAATAGAAATGGCTTCAATTTACCCAACACAGAGCATCAGAAAGTCGTAATTTAAAGATATTTTTTGGCAAAGATTCAAAAACT